TTTTTGTTGAATCGGAGAACTAATACAAATTCAAAAGTAAAGATAAGAGATTCTTTCAAAGTACAAGGCTTTTGTGTTATTGAATTAAATTAAATTTTGGAAAATGCTCTTTTTTTCATTTTTATTGGTGTTCTCACATTACAGTGAAAAATTCATATTGTCTGTAGTGTTTGGAGATGCATCTTCGGACGCATTTATTTTTACATCTCCTCGGTTCAAAGATGTATTTTCGTATGTGTAAAAAGTGTGTTCGAATATGCATCTCTGTGTGTGTAAAAGTGAGTCTAAATATGTATCTCCGTAAACACCATTTGTTCAAAAATAAGTGAGTGGTCTAGAGATGTATCTCCAGACGCTATTGGTTCATATTCCATGTCAGACCTTTCTCTCTTCCTCCTTCATTTTCTCAAAAGTTTACAAAAAAAAATCCAATTTAGCTCTGCAATGGTTTTACATCTACATCCATCCAGTCAAGCTTATGTCTTTTGAGCTCTTTCCAACATCTCATAACATCTAATCTGCTCATTCTCATCAATCAATTTTTTTGGTAAGTTTTTCAATTTTATTTTTATGTTTTGATTTTTAGTTAGTTTTTTAGGATAAATTAGTTGTTGTATGTACATTAGATAGCAGTGTAACGAAATTTATACGCTATTAGAACATGCAATTAGGATTTTTTTGGGTATGTTAGGGCAGAAAATGAGTCTGGCATAGGAGCTGAAAATTGCAGGTTTGTTCGAAGATGCATTTGCGGATTTGCTTTGAACTGTTTTCGGAGATACATCTTTGGATTGGGCTCAGTAAAAAAATGGGATATTTAGTAAAGTGTTATTTATATCTCTCTGTTTATAACGCGTGTGTAATGACTGACAACAACAAAGGTCGCATTAGGGTCGGTACGACGTAAAAGAGTTGCAACCAATACCATGAGGCCACGAGTAATTGATGACTCGTTTGATGATCAATCTTCTTCGCATGCACGAATGTTTGGTTCTCGTAACTGACTCTCTCAAACATCTCAAGCATATGATGCAGCTGAACTTGGGAATTTTGAGGCCCATGTTGATCTTGGAGCCCCCTGAAGCCCAAGAGGAAGCCATAGAGGAAGCCCCATTGGAGAGATATCCAGGAGGGTCGTATGACACTTTTTAGCCAGAGCATGCTGCTAGATATGTCTAGAATTGAGAGTTGTATTTACTTATTTTTTACAAATAAATATGTCTGGAATGGAGAGGTATATTTATTTTTTTACAATACATATACATATGTTGTCAACTAATTAAATCCATATTGATTATGTTATCTTTTTTTCAGAAGCGTGATTGTTGAAAATGATTAACCACAACAAGAAGATATTGCAGTTGTCACAACCCTCTGGTTGTTGGTTCGGAGATGTTGTCTGCTACTCCAATCTTGCTGGTTTATGTCCATCTACATATGTGACCATAAACCACAGCATGAAGACTGCTTTTGCATAGAGGTGGCACTCATAGGCGTCACCCTTCCACCTTTCTATATGCGATATGCCCATCACTTTGGATGACGTCTCATACCTATTGCATCTTCCTATCAGGGGGAGATTATTGGACCACGGAAGGATCAGGCAAGAGGAAGTAGTTAATGTGATGATCAGATTATTGGGGGTTGACCCTAGTAAGGCTTCAGAGGAGGCGGCTCGCACTAGAGGTGATCATGCACGGTTTAGCTTTTTGGAAAAGCTTTATGGGGATAATGTGAAGGGTGATGATGAGCAGGTTGAGTACTACAGATATTGTGCATTGAGGTGTTACTTCTTGTTTTTGGTTGGCACGTCCATGTTTGTGGAAATAAGTGATACATATGTTGACGTGGTATACCTCAAGTACTTCACAGACCTGACTAGAATTCACGAGTACAACTGGGGGGTCACCTGTTTGATCTACATGTACTCGAAGTTGGGCGGGGGTTGTCTTTGAAAGACAAAGCAATTTATGGGGTATTGCACGTTGTTTACCATAATTTCTTGTTACTAATATTTTCATAATTCATTTCATATACATGTTATTAATATTGTATCTAAAACATTGTCAGGAATGGATCATCTCTCACTTCCCATGCATCACTGGGTGGGAAGCTGCACCACACCAATGAGGACTGGCCTCGTGTATCTACTTTTGTTCTGTAAAGAAGGAATGGTGTTGTCGAGCCAATTACAGTCATTTGACGTTATCTCTTTCTACTCTGGATGGCTAGCATTGGGGTCAGCTCCTATACATATTTATCTTCCAAGGCGAGTAATGCGCCAGTTTGGCTATATTCAGATCGTTCTGAGACCTACCTATGAGCCTGATCCTCCCGGAGTCCTCTGCAGAGACGTGCAAGATATACTTGAAATTCTGGCACTTGTAATACAGATGTTAAGACTGATGTCTCAACACAAAACACAATATCAGGACAGATGTTATGACATCATTTGCTGATAGAAAAATAGAAGATTGTGCATAAGAGATAAATTGTAGAAAATTAAACAACACAATAAATTGTTAACCCAGTTCAGTGCAATGTCACATACTCTAGGGGATACCAAGCCATGAAGGAAATTCACTATGATAATATTAATTCAAAGCCTAAACAATCTCATTTTACAACTTCTCTCCTAATCACTACCTTGTGAAACTTCTACCTAGACACCTCTAGATATCAGAACCCCCTATCACTTCCAATCAACAGTGATACCTACAGTCATAAACCTTGTGACTAGACCAAAAGAACCAAATAGAAGATTACACTTCAAATAAACTATTTAATTTTGCTTAAAAGCTTCAACTAAGAACAATACTTAACTCTTTGAAAGCTCATGAGTGAGAACAATAACTTGATATAAAATTAAGTAATAACCAGTCAAACTCATTGCATCAAAAGATACATGAGTGACATACAAAGAACACAAACACAGAGAACTTAAAAGACTCCCAAAACCCTAATCCTTATGTTGCACCCACGGTTTGTTCAATGTGAATGCTTTCTATTTTAGGTCTAGCAAGCCGTTATTTATATACTCTTGTAGTATGGACTTGGACTCTTCAAATCAAATCCAATCTTCACTTATTAAATCAGCTGCAAGTTCTTCTTATAAAAATAGGAACAAATCTTTTAAAGTTTCCTAAAATGTCTTTAATATCCTTTTTAATGAAACCAAATCAAATATGCACTTGTTCCTAAAAAATCTCCTTGACCTGCGAAGAATGATGAGATATATCCAAATGATCTCTCAAAAAATAAATCAAATTTGTCAAGAGATAAAACAGCAATGCTTGGTGCATAACAGGCCAAGATGTCAAGACATCAGACTCAATATATGTCTGATAAGCATGACAACAGAACCTAACATGACATTTGGTCAAGATGTTATGACATCTTTCTCAACTTCAGTCCAGAACCATGTTTTAGCAAAATTTGTGTCAAACTTAAAACCATAGATTTAACAATACTGAATAATTTCTAGAGTCACCTAGTACCAGAGGAGAATCGTCAGGAGACAGCTGAAGAAACTAGGCTTGAGCTGAGGGCTAGCTGGCATGGTTTATAGGGTGTCACACCCTATCTTGACGTCAGACGCTCCTGGAGAACAACCTAGGCCAGCTAACCTAGAGGTACTTAAGTTTCTGGATGAGCAAACAAAGAGTGCGGCGGCGGCGTATTGCGGAATGGGTAGAGGGGTCATATAGGCAGGACTCTTCAAGGATGGTTCTCCCCAGTTGGCCCTCTTTCATACCATGGTTGTCGAGTTACGGAATGATGTGCAATACAGACGACGGAAGAGGCAGGCGGTTAGACATTTCCAGTAGTTTATATTGAGATGTATTATTTATTTATTTTTAATATTTTCAAATGTATTTTCGAACTCCTATTATGTATTGATTATCTTAATTTTTTCTATTAATGTGAATTTTTTTACCCATCTTTAACTTTAAATTTACTTTAATTTTTTATATTAATATAAATTAATATATGAATTTTGACCTAATAAAAATTGAAAGGTTAGACAATATTGTTGTTCCTACGTGAACCCGGGAGAATTTCAGAGATACATTTTTTAATTTTTAAAAGTGTGATATGATTATATAAAGTTCTAATGATCAATTTCCTAAATTTCTCGTATCCTTCTCTGCTCATATATCTCAATTATTTCCACATCATTTTTTTTTACTCCAAATTTTTAAACAAAGTCTAAAGTAAGATGAGTTTCTTTTTTTTTTTTTTAAAAAGAAAATTCAAGTAACTCCTTAGAAAAATTAACATGCTGAACACTTATGGCATGATTGAATTACTTTAACATTATCCAAATCGGGTTTAAAAAAAAAGATTATGGAGTGAAATTACTTCAATTGGTTGAGTTTCCTCTGACCCACACCAACAAACGTGTCTTCTTCTAAGTCTAACTTATCAAAATATGTTACAAAATGTTAATCCGTTTCACATTAAGTGTTCTCTTTTATATTTTTATTTGTCTTAAATTATTTATCTTTTTAAAATATTAATATGATATTTATTATTTTTTTTCACTAATTTATTCTTATTTATTGTATTTTAATTCATATAACTATTCTACTATCTAGTATTAATGAAGTAAATTTTGTAAATCACATTCACCATTGAAATTAACATAATTAATTATTATCTTAAAAAATATAAAAATTAAAAAAAAAAACACATGTTCATCGTACTATTGTAACTATATCCCTTTTTCTCCCCCTTAATATTGTCTCCTCGAACCATCTAACTAATTTCTCTTACCACAAATTCCAACTTCTCACTTCCAAACACTACTTTGTAGTTCAGTTCACCTGAATGAATGTCTATGACCGTTGACCAAAACCTTCACAGAAATCTACCTTATAGTTTTCACCAACTAACAGCTAACATGTTGAGTTCTACATTTTGAAAATCTTACAAATTTTACTCACAAATCAAACACACGTTACAAATGACTCACCTACCTATCTTTCATATTTGAGATCATGCAATCCACAAACCTTTTTTTCTCTGTGCTTAACATTGCAACATTCATATTAGACCCTTCTACTCAAGCTTTGATCTATCTATCTTTAGTTATGACATACACGACGCTGACTCAAGGATTCGCCGCTGTAATCTTCTTGATTGCTCTGTACTGTGGATTAGACCCTTTCAAGCACAGCCCTCTCCATGGCTTCCCGGATTTTGAGGCGCACAAAATTAACATGCCATCATGGTCTGAGGTTCCTATGGACCATGACAAACACAACTTGTTGCAAAAATCGGAGCTCATGTTTGTGAACCAAGTGCAGGGACCAGAGAGTGTTGCTTTCGATCCTCATGGTCTTGGTCCTTACACTGGTGTTGCGGATGGAAGGATTTTGTTTTGGAATGGACTGTCTTGGACTGATTTTGCATATACCTCATTCAACAGGTCACACTTCTCTTCTGTTGTTATCTATCCATTACAAATGGAAAGACATTTTGTGGCTATTTACCTTTGCAATATTGCATGATAATAATTCTTGTAACGTATTTCTGAGCACAGGTCGGAACTATGCAATCCTAAGGCATCAGCATCGCCACTTAGCTATGTTGAGACTGAGCACATCTGTGGAAGACCTTTAGGACTAAGATTTGACAAGAAAACTGGTGATTTATACATTGCAGATGCATATTTTGGGCTGATGAAGGTGGGGCCTCAAGGTGGTTTAGCAACATCTCTTACGACAGAGGCTGAAGGAGTGCCATTGAGATTTACTAATGATGTAGATATTGATGCAGAAGGAAACATTTATTTCACTGATAGCAGCACTACATATCAGAGAAGGTTGTTGTAATTAAACTTTTACGGGTTGATAGTGTACTGTTTGAATTTGTTATCATTTTGAATGTGAGAAGTAATAAAACAATGCTGGGGATGCAGGAATTATGAAAGATCTTGACTGGTTTTATTGTACTGACTTCTGATGTCATTCTACTCGCAGGAATTTCAATCAGCTGATATTTTCTGGTGAGAATAGTGGAAGAGTTTTGAAATACAGCCCTGCCACCAAGAAAACCACTGTTCTTGCGAGGAATTTGGGATTTCCAAATGGAATTTCCTTAAGCAAGGATGATTCCTTCTTTGTCTTTTCAGAAGGGTTGATTGGAAGGTGAGCCAGTAATCACACAATGCTTTTTTCGTTTAATAACAATACACTGAAGATGCAAACAAGTTTTATAAAGATGTCCAGCATATATTTTTTTTCCATTTAGACACAAATTGTGATTATGTGATAAGATGATGAAATATGATAGGACATCTATGTAAAATTTATCTGCATTGTAATGTAAAGAAAGTTATTAAAACATAATTTTCTTCCTATACTCAAGTGTCTTTTTTTCTGTAGGCTATGCAAGTACTGGCTAAAAGGAGATAAAGCTGGAACTTCAGAAATATTGGCAATCCTACCTGGTTTTCCTGACAATGTGAGAGTCAATGAAGATGGTGACTATTGGGTGGCTATCCATTGTAGAAGGTATATGTACAGTTACATAAATGCTCTCTTCCCTAAAATGAGAAAAGCCATACTCAAGCTACCTATTCCAACATTGTTTCATTATCTGCTTCAAATCGGAGGCCGGTTCCATGCAGTCGTCGTAAAATATAGCCCTGAAGGTAAAATTCTACAGATATTGGAGGACAGTGAGGGAAAAGTTGTTAAAGCAGTTAGTGAAGTGGAGGAGAAGGATGGTAAACTCTGGATGGGAAGTGTTTTAATGCCTTTCATTGCAGTTTACCACTTGACATGAAGCATGAATATAGATAGATTCTCCTCCACTCAAGACCAGTTAATTGAATTCTCTTAAAGAAATTACAAGTTGATTTTTTACCCCTTTCCTCTATTTGATTACGATGTCATGAAAAATAGACTACAAAAGTAACAAAATGTAATGAAAAATAACAACAAAAATAGATGTGTAAAATTTGGTCTGTTATTGCTAGAAAACCTTTTTTTTGGGAATAGATTAATAGAAGATAGATATATGGATTCTCCTTAAAAAAAATAAAGTAATATTGGAAGAAGGGTGAACAGCAGAAAAGAAATAATTGCCAAGCTAGGGATGTTGTATTACAACAAAGAATCGTTTCGTTATTGTATTTCCACTTCTTCGGGAAAATCACTTGTTATTGGCTTGATCAAAATGGTTCAATGCCATAGTTACAGTTCAAAAAACCCTTTGATCCCAATACAACCCACCTATGACATTGCAGTAGCAGTTGTAATTGAATCTCTAAAAATACATATATGCACTAAATTGTTCGACAAGTAGACTAGAGAAGCTTTTCCTCACTCGTCTACAAATGAAAATACACATGAAGGAAATAATGAAAGAGAAAACAAAAATGTGGGAAAATCACACCCGTAGTAGCCAATATCGCCAGCAAGATTTGCATATTTGACTTATTAAGATCTGAGATTTCCATGAATCTGTGCATCTGCATCAAAGCATGTGCTAGCAATGAGCAAAATACCATAAGGAAGGAAATACAGCTAACAACTGAGCATAGTTAATAACAATTAGGCAAATAGTAAACCAGAAACAGATGAGTTTTCATGCACAAACACAATGATACGTATCAATTGTTCATTACCTTGTTTTAATGAATGTTGCTAGCCGGAAAAAAAAACAAAAATGAGGGCTTTTTCATTGAAGACAAGAAGCAAATCTAGAGTGTTGTCCAAAGGTTCCAAGCATCCAGCATGCTGTTTCCAGCAGTTTCCCTACAAGAAACATTCATTTAATCCGTCATAAACTACAACAAATTGACGTACATTTTGTTGTTATAAGTATGGAGACAAGTATGATTGAGCTTACAAACTTTTCTGCTAAAGAAGAAATATATGAATTGATACAGCAGGTGATGGAAATGAGCATGTGACCAATTCTAGTTGCAGATATTCAATAGCTAGGTTAGGCAAGCTAATTTTGTCTATCATTCCATTCCATACTTACAATATGGTTCGTCTATTTTTAATCCAAAGTATACACAAAGGTAGCATTAGCAAGCAATAACTAACATGCTCAATTTTCAGGACAAATATTGTGCCTTCTATGAAGTAAAAAAAGGTTACACCAAAGGCAGTTCATGAAATTTTAATAGCATTCACTGCCCTGGGTTTTTTAACCTTTTCTTGTTCGAATATGGGCAATATCACAATAACAATACTAAAGAGCTTTCAACTTTTCAAAAAACTTCCAATTCATATTTCTTAAACTTCACCTGACACTTGTCATAACTAATAACAACCTAAATTACATACTACTTCCAAACATGCTCTAAGTAATTACAGTGAAAGACCACGATGATTCATAAGGTAATGTATGTTAGGTTTCATGTTTGGAGCTCCCAGAATTGATTTTGGATATGTAGAATTAATTGACATTTTGCTTGCTCTCGAGTAAAATTGTTTATGCTTTTAAGAATTGGTTCTTCTACTTGAAGCTAGGATATGATGCTTTTGATTCTTCTACTTGGTTGCTCTCAAGTAAGAATTTAATCGCTTCATTCTCAACTCACTTTTAGTTGAAATCAATTTTCTTCACCACAGAACCAAACACACTGTACGGCAAGACTTGAAGCTTCTTAAAAGTTGCGGTTGAATAGTGTTTGATGTGAGTTTAAGCATTCAAACATTTAACCAAACACTCACTTAACCCTGTGTTTGGAGACCCGGCAGAATGTCTTTCAGATGTGGTGGTGAGTGAAGCTTAAGTTTGTAGGTTTGAACTAAACTGACATTGGTATCGTGAAAACAATGAAAGCCAAACACAAACCAAGTCCTAATGTCAAAAGCATCGTCAATCTAAACATACACTGGCACAGATAAACAAGTACTTGCTCACTACTACTTTATGCTTATTTAACTCCATACCCTTCCCCCATAGAATCCAATGTCATATGAACACACTACAACTCTATTATTCACAATTTGAACTCGTAAGACTACAAAAGAGAAAGAAAAGAAGTAACAACGCACCTCTTCTGTGTTTGACAACAACTTTACCGGGTTGACCCATCTTAGAAACGGGTTTAACCTGCTCCATAACCTCCTCCTTCTCCTCCATAGGAAACAAAACACCATCAATCCCCTGCACAGAAATTCTCCCATCGGTATAAATATCCGGGTCAAACAAATAGCCCGCCAGACCACCATGTCCAAATTTAACAGACCCATCAGCTTCCTCAGCCACAACCTTATGCGGCAACCTTAAAGTATCGTATCGAACTTTCCCGAACCTTCTAACAGCATTATACATACTCTCTTCCGTTTGATACTCCGGGATAATATGGTAGTACATTATCTCTTCCGGCGAACCCGGTTCACTCAACTGCTCCGTCGTTAACTTCGCCATCGCCTCGTCGTTCGGAGCCAAAACCGTTAACACGTAACCCTCCGAAACTAAACTACTCATTTCAGTTGCTAATGACGTTAGGTTTACGAGAATATCAGCCATTTCGTTGTAACCACCGTAATGGAGTAATGTTTTGATGAAATCCTTCACCTGTGCCTCGCCGTCGAAGTGGTGGTGTGGGCCGCCTGGCCCTGGCGCTGGCGCCGGGGCCAGGGACGGTCCTGGAGCTATTGCTTCGTAGATCGAGAATGTCGGTGGTGAACCGGGTTTCTCCGGTGGTGGAGATTTTTTTTTCAATCGTTGATTTCTCGTGTCGATTTCCGGTGAACCTTCCGGTTTCACGGCGGTGATGGAACGGAGACTACGGCGGTTGTTGAAGTCGTTTTCTACCGAGCGTGGGATGAGAAGACGCTGGATCCCGTGGATGATGCCGTCGGGTCGGGTTATGAAATTCGGGTGGGTGATTTTGGTTTTGTCCACGGTCCATTCGCCAGTGGTGATATTGGTGGCAAGGTGGAGATTGTGATTGGAGAGGGTCTTGTGTTGGTGATGGTGTTGGTTTCGGGTCGATCCGGTTACGATTCGGGTTGGGATGACGTGGGATAATAAGAGAGTTTGGAGAGAAAGGATATTACCGGGTTCGAGAAGAAACAGTTTGAAATCGGAGTCGAGATTACGTTCAAGAGCTTCATTGTTTGGTGCGAAAATGGTGATATTGTGGGTTGCAACGGTGTTTTCTAGTGTTTGTAATAGCATAGCTTTTTCAATGAGTTCAACGAGTTCGGTGTAATGTGAGTCGAGAAGTGCTACTAGAACTGAGTTGGAGTTGATTTGACTCGTTGGTGAAGAAGAAGAAGAGAAAACTGAGAGAAAGAAAAGAACAAGAAGAAGAACGGCATGGATGCGGCAATGGAAATACATGGTGAATTGGAAGAGAGAGAATGGGGTTGAATGGAATGAACAATTTGCTTGACTAAAGAAGACAGCAAAAATAATTGCTCCGCTGATGTGCGATGTTTGGTGTCCAGTGGTTTTGTTTTCTTCATGTGACTATGTTGGGTTTTGTTTGAGTTGTTTGGTGGGTAAATTAGGACAACAGTAATGAATATTTAAAGGACTTTTTAACTATAGTGTTAAAAAATATCTTTTTAAGTATAGAGTATTAGGATTTTATAAGGGTGATGGAGAGGATGTGGAGGGATATTTTAGAGGCTAATTAACTAACTAGTTGAGTTGATTTTGTCGGTTGTATTGTAGTGAAAAAGGAAGAATTGGAGCTGGTGGACTTGGGTCCAGTAGCCAGCTGTTAGTGAGAGCTGGAGTACAGACATTAATTCTAAAGTCTAAACTGTGGTTGAAATTTTTGGTGAGGGAAATCCCTTTTAATGAGCCAGCTTGCTACCAATGGAAACTGTATCTATTTATAGATTATGAGGTCGGGTTCCAACCAGTAACATAATATATGGTATCAAGTTTGATAGATATTGATATTTATCAGTCAAATGACAAATTCATCTATGGTCATCAATTTTAACATCTAAACTTATTGAAAATAAAATTTATACAACCTTATACTACCTTCATTCCTAAATATAAAATCTCAATAGAAAATTTCAATGAGAAAATTGCGAGAATTAAAAAAATTGATTAAATTAATAAATTTATTGATTATTTAATATAATTTTATAAATTTATTTTTAGGATAGATAAATAATTAATGTGTATGTAAATATTATTATAGATGGAAGAAAAAAATATAACATAATTAGGAATAAGTTTGAAAAAACAATCATTAATATATATTAAAAGTTGAATAGAATTTTATAAAGAGGATAAGAAAAAAAATCAAGAGAGTTTATAACACATGCATAGTGGGGGAACCGGTTGATGGTAGTAATGAGCATTTATTTTTGAGGCAGGAGTCAGGTCAATACCATTCTTTGGTAGACGAAGCAAGTAAAGTTGATATCTTGCTACACCTTGATTGACATTGGTAGATGTGGTGGTTCCCATCTTGGATTGAGTTTTCTTATGGTTTACTTTCCTGTATTAGATATTAGTCATGTGATATCGCAAATGTATGATTTAGTATATGTGTTTGTTCTATTTTTATTTTATTTTTTGTATAGATGGTTTGGAAGTTAGTTTTTGAAAAGTTGTGTTTATATTTTAATATGTGTCATGTTTTTAAAAAGTTTAAAAAATAATATATTATAATAATTTATAAAATCATATTGTTTTTTAAATTTTTAAAAAATATTAAATATATTTCAAGATATAGACGCAACTTTTATAAAATCATATTGATTTTTAAATTTTAGAAAAATATCAACATATTTTTAGTATAGACGCAATCCTTCAAAGTCTCTCCTTCTAAAAATCAACTCCCAAATTTTCCTTAAGATTTGCATGACATCTCTTATATAGTTTTCATCGTGACTGTAAAGTGATAATGATTCTTCTCTTCATTTTTTGAAGCTTTAATGTTAAAAGTAACGTCTATCGTCACTTTAATTATCCTTATTTAGATTGTGTAACGGCTTTGGCATCAATTTCATAATCTCCCTATGACCATAGACATTCTCATATTAATATCTTGATCCTCTAGCATTTGTGAAAAGGAGGTCACCCCAGCTAATCGGCGTCTATAGAAGACATGTTGCTCTGAGACCTTAGTTAGTCCAATTTCTATTGCGGCTAAACCCTAGCGCCTTTTCTCTAAGGTCATGCATCAATATCCGGTTTGCACTACAATCATGAATATGTCCTTTTATCACCATAGAGTTTCATGTGCTTGAATTCCCTATGCATCTCTTTTGAAAAAACTGATGGTTATTGATCTTTCCTCCATTGTTGATCTTGTGGTTATTACTTCTTTTTGTGAGCGAGATATTTATAAGGCTTAATATTTATGGGAGGAGTTTTTTGGGCAAGAGGGATGTGGTGATCATGTGATCTAGTGGGAAGTAGGCCTTGTGGAATTTGAAAAATTGAAAAACATGAGTGAATAACGTTTGTTATTTCTTTGGATAAGGATTTGGGGAGTGAGTCTAGTGTTTGTTTGGGATTTGATATTGTATTTTGATATGAGTCTTGGGTGAGTTGGTAGAGCAAAAGGTGCATGAAAGCAATGAAGTTTGTGTGGAGTAAATGACAAAGTCGACTGTAAATTGAGAGTGTTGGAGAGGATTTTGGATTATCTGTAATAGTGATGTCTTTATTATTATAGGTTAATGAGATTTTTGGTATTGAAAAATTAGTCATAAGAGGGCCAAGTGTTCTCAACCATTCCATTTCTAGAACCACATATGCTCCCTCAATTGGAAGTAGATAAAATGGAATAAAAATATATTATTTTACAATGTAATGAGAACGGGAAGGTTGTGGTCAGAATATAGTAATTGAGAGACATTTTCAACTATAACGGAGAAATTGGGTATGGGTCTGGTGGAAATTTTAAGATTTTGGGCTATACGGAATTGAAGTATGTTGTCAGTGCAAACTGTATCATTTAGCACAGTTATCAATAAACCAAGTAATCCTTTGAACTTTAATGTTTTAGGGGAAATTGTCCACTTATAACTTGTGGTGAAAGTTGAAAATATGTTTCTTCATATTCAAATTCAACTTACACAAGCTCTCAAATTTCATTAGTGTCTTGAAATTGCATATGAGAATCCTCATCTACCATAAGTAAGTGAAATTTTCTTGCTGCAAATTTTTGATCCTGAGTAAATTTCTAATCGCAATTAAAACACAAACATTGAGCTCTACGCTCTTCCCTTTGGGTTGAAGTAATATGTCGTATAGGTAAATGACTTGGGCATGTGTTTGTGTTAGGTGTATCTAGAGATTTAGGTATTGATGTGGTGTTTGGGGTTGTGCATGTTGATTTTGGGTAATGTTGTTGGTATTTGTGGTGCTATGGTTTAGATTAAGAGATCTGATAAATTTGAATTTAGCATCTTTTAGTTTGGCCTCAATGAATTTGGTCAATCTCACAACTTGTAAATAGAGTAAGAACATTGAATAGCTAGTTTATTTTGGAATTTTTGGTATTAAACATGAAATGAAGCAATTTAGTATTGCATGTCCAGAGGCTTACGTATTGATGTGGTGTTTGGGGTTGTGCATGTTGGTGGTTTTGGGTAATGTTGTTGGTATTTGTGGTGTTATGGTTTAGATGTTATGGTTTAGATTAGGAGATCTGATAAATTTGGATTTGACATTTTTTAAGTTTGACCTCAATGAATTTGGTCAATTCCACAACTTATAAAATAGAGTTAGAACATTGTATAGCTAGTTCATTTCGAATTTTTGGTATTACGCATGAAGTAATTTATCTATATCTCTATTTTTTAAAAGTGGCTTGGTATTTTGAAACAGAACCGTGCAATCTTAGTTTCAACAGTTGAACTTAGAGATTTTCATAGGTTGAGGGGCCAAAGTTAGGGGTGGTAAAACGGATCCAACCCGTTAGGTATACCCGTTTTATCCGCACTTTAATGCAGAACGGGTCAAGAATTTAGACCCTCGCCTTCTAAGGTGATCGCTCCGTCCTCTCAATTTTCTTCGCAAGCTTTTGCAGGCATGAACATTAGCATAAAATTTTATATTTTTAGACCTAAAAGATGCAGTATCTGCAGACTTTTCCCGTCCCGCACTAACTTTTTTGTGGGACAGACTTAAATTTTAGACTCTCATCCTCAACTATATTCACCCTGCCACGCCCTGATTTTTTGCGAACTTTTGCGAGACAGGACTAAACGGAACGGACATGCCCGTTTGTCATCCCTAACCAAAGCGTAGTACAAAAGCCCTAAAAAATGTTTGCCGATCAGTAAGTTTATGGTTTTGAAACATCCACTTATGCCATCCTATAAGACATTCTTTCATATAAAATGTAGCCATGGAAAGTCGATTTTCATAAGAGATGTTATAAAAAGCAAAAGATTATTCTGCTTGAAAGAGCCATTACAAGGCATATGTCCCATCAAAGATGGTTGCAGAATAGCAAAAAAGAAAATAATTGATGCTGTTGAGTGTAGTGTCGTGAAAAATGGGTGGTTGAGACAATTGTAAAAGCTGAATGAATAGTGTAAAACGGGTTGTGATTGGACAGAAGAGAGTGATAGTGGTGGTGGTGGAATGGGTCTTTTAGTAGTGGTCAGGTTTTCCCTTGTGTCCGGAAGGGACGTGGGTAAGGATAAATGCATAAGTGAAATGTTTCAAAAGCCTAATTGTTTGCTGCTATGGCATAGAAAGTTATCATGGTCAGATCTGCTAACTGATTTAAAGGAACATTATTGATAGTATTTCACAATCAAACACAATTGCAGCCTGGGTGATGATGGTATATGCTTAAAAACACTGATAGGTACAAGAGACAGTGTTTTATGTGAAGATTATCTCAGGAATATCTATATAATCTATAAATAAGTTTACAAGGTGAACTGAATATACACAATCACGTTTAGGTTCCTGAGTAACATACAAATGAGACCACCACCACCTTTGTTTTAAGTTTTTTATTTCCAATATGACAATTGTTGGTCATCTTTTGCAGGTCAAAGGATTATCACTTATCTGGCCCCTGCTCCAGACAATAGGCAATCCACGACATCCACAAAACTTCACATCCAGTAATGAGCAACTCTATTCCTACCTGATATGATAGAAAAATCCATCACAGTAATGGCATAATTAGAATTAGAATTAATGCAATCGAGACAAACAAATAGCTTCCAAATCCAGGGATGTAGATTAGATAAATAACTAAGATTTCACTTGGAAAAGAAAATGTCCCATACTTCATTACGCAGCAAAAACCAAGTCAAGTTTCATGCTGAAACATGATTGAGTATTTTATTCAACAGCAAACAGAAAATCAAGACAGCCTACATGTTCCAAGGTTCATCATG